AAAAAAAAAAAAATATGGGCTTGATTTATAAATCAGTAAAATTATACACATTAAAAATGTAGGTGTCCAGGCCTCCTCCCTAGAGATGCCAAGTCAGTAAGTCTGAGTGGAGCCAGAATCTGCCTCTTTAACAAGCACCACAGATTAATTTGATGTAAAATGGTCTAAAAATCACATTATGAGAAATAATGTGTATAATTTATATAATTTGACCAATTAAAATTCTCCACTCTAGAGCGTTCTGCCTACTAAAATCAAAATAGGTGTGTTTCCTTATCTTCAATCTCTCCATTAACAGTTTCCAGAGCCTGAGACTCTAGAAAGTTAGTAAGAACTTTGTGGTAGACCTTTCTTGATGAGTGTCTGAACTCAAAGTGTTGAGCACTTGCCACAGGCAGTGTCTCTATGCCAAGAACTGAGAAGGTTTTTAGACTGTTACTCATAAGTTTACAGTCCTTTGAACAGATGGCTAACTTGTAAAAGGGAAACTGTGCTGAGTCTTATGATAAGAGTATTCTCAGTGTGTTAAGGCTGCGGTCCCCAACCCTTGAACCGCCCAGTACCGTTCGGGTCGGTGGCCTGTTAGAAACGGAATCACACTGCTTGAGCTCCGCCTCCCCTCCTGCCACCCCTGTTCAAGGAAAATGTCTTCCATGAAACCAGGCTGCAAAGCAGGAGGTGAGCGGTGGGCGAAGAAGAAAGCCTTCCCGCATCGCTCCCTCAGCATCAGCATCACCGCCTGACTGCCTGAGCTCCACCCCGCCTCCCGCCACCGCCTGTGGAAAATAGTGCCAGAAAGGTTGGGGACAGGACCGCTGTGCTAGGGTACTGACAAAGCAAAAGAAATTCATCTGAAATTAAGAGGATAGGGGTGAGACTAGGTGGGAGAGCTTCCGGAACAAGGTGAAATTAGAGTTGGATATTATAAAGAGGGTAGAATTTCCACTCAAAGATCTTGATGGGAATGAGCAGAAAGTTTTAAGCAGAAGGAACAACTAGAACCAGAACTTTAAGGTGAAAAGTTATTTAGAGAGAATAGAGAGTGAAACAAATATAATTGAGGCTTTGTGCTATGGCAGGAAAGCTGGGAAGATTATAGGATTTAAGCAAAGAAAGGAATGATAATGATAATCAGCCTCCAAATGAGGAAACTAAGACCACTAGAGTACATCATAGCTAATTAGTGATAGAGGTACATCTAAAACCAGACTTGACTTCTAAATCCATTCATTCCTTCAGCGAACAATTGTTATACCTACAGACACTGCTGGGCTCCTTCTTATGACTTCTGTTCTACCACCTGAATCTATTCTTGGAGAATTATGGATGCCAGCCTGGAATTTTAAGCTTATCTCATGGGCAGTGGAAAATCACAAATAGATTTTTAAATTACCTTGACTGGCTTGGATTTATCTTTAGGACCAATTCTGAGAGGGGCAGTGTTTGGATATATCAAAGGGGTAGGATTGGAGTTAAGGATACCCATTTAGAAATTAAGATAGTGTGGTACCCAGATGAGATAAAAGGACTATGACCTAGGGACAATAGGACTTAATTGAAGAACATCTACATGGTGGAATAATAATAACAGTAACACGTTTTTATAATTTGCCCACATTAGTTCATCTGATCCTTACAACTACCCTGTGAAGTGGTTACTATTAATAACCTTATCCAATAGATGTGAAAACTAAAGCTTGGCAAGCCCACAGGTTCACCCAGGAGTAGGATCAGGCACTCTACCTCCAGAGCCTATGCTCCTAACCACCAAACCATGATAATCCTATAATTTTGATATTGCAAAACTGGAAAAACTATGCTGCTATCATTCAAGCTATGCATATGCTGGGCAAGTAGGTCTGTGGGTGAGAGTGAGGAGTTCTTTTTTAGTTATACTGAGTTTAAGATACTGGGGGATGTTTCAGACTATAGAGGGAAAAAAATGGGGTGGGGAGATGATAAATCTAAACCCGATTAATCAGTGTTTTTGTGATATGCATGCAGTAGCTATTCAGCAAATGCTTATGGCAAAAGGATAAAAGTTGCAGGTATAACTGAAATAATATTGGGTTTAAAGCAAAGCTTCAATAAAGATAAATACAGAAGATGTTTCTCAGTATGCCAGAAAATATGTTAAAGCGTGAGCTGAGGCTGACCAAATGCCAGTTATGAGATGTGTGATGGCTCCAAGAAACTACTACGGCATAAGAGCTAATTTAATTAGAAGCTTTTAAGTGAATGGCCCTCAAAGTAGTGATTTCTGTTTGCATATTGCTATCTTTTTTGTGTTACAGATCCCTATAATAATGTTTGAATATAAGCAGAACAACTTTATGTTTGTTCTTTGCAAAGGCTAGAGTAATGCTAACAATCTGCTCTTCGTTTGATTTTTCTCCGCCTTGCCAATTCAGAATGCCACTTTGTCAATTTCTGTGCCAGGTATAGGAACTCCTCCATTTTCCAAGTGCAATAGTGCAGGCAGAGAAGAGTGAATGAGCTGTAAATATAGCCTAGAACTGCGGACTCCAACGCCCAGGGCACAGACTGGTACTGGTCCATGGCCTGTTAGGAACCTGGCCACACAGCAGGAGGTGAACGGCTGTTGAACAAACAAAGGCTTCATCTGTATTTACAGCCACTCCCCATCGCTGGCATCACCGCCTGAGCTCTGCCTCCCACCGACTCCCAGTCCATGGAAAAATTATCTTCCATGAAACCAATCCCCGGTGCCAAAAACGTTGGACACCACTGTCCTAGAACACATTTAGTTATGGAGAATGAAGCATTAATATTCCAATATAATTGGAGTGAAAAAAATACCATCTGGGCATCGGTGCTTTTCCCCATTTGCGTTATCTCAGAATTATTTCTGCAAACAGCAGTTTCCTCAGCCAACTTAATATTGAGCCACCACAACGGAAATCAGCCATATTACTTCCTTATTTACTTATGTTGAAAATTGGAACAGAATGGAAATATTTCTTCTCTCAGAAGTTGGCAGGAGCAGCAACAGGGCAATCTGTTAGGCATGACAGCTATAGGCTCTTTTCTTTTCCTTTTTTAAAAATAATATAGTCAATATTCAGAATGGTTTTCTAGGGTAAAATCATTTACATTTCTGATTATTCACGATCCTAGCAAAGCTTACTTTCTATATACCTAAAAGATGAAAACAGAGTTGGATTAAACTTGAGAATCACATTTATCTGTTACATTCTTATTAATGGTGAGAGAAAGGTAATAGAAAATTCTACCGAGTAACTTAAGCCACAAGCATAGTACAGCCATTTTTAACTGTTTGCAGCAAGGTGGCACTTTGATTTTCCCTTTTGAACTCGTTTTTTCTTTGGCTTCCAATGTCGGCTGCTGCATGGAGAATAGCAGGCATGATATTATTATGGGAAGTCTCGAACTTGCAAGTGAATTGCATTTCTAAAATTCATAAATTTGTCTTTTCACTTTTGCATTCACGGCATAGTTGTACTTCCCTTCAGTACTTCTCATACCGCCTTGTATATAATTAGCTGTTTATGCCCCTGCCTCTAGCTAGTTTGTAAATTCCTGAACATCTGAGACAGTGTCTTAAGTCACCGAACATCCCTTGCAGCACCTGCGATTTCATCTTGCACTTGATGGGCCCTTGACTTAGCTGAGCTGTTTTAAAGTCATTAGGCTGGAATGAACAGAATGGTCATTAGTTGATGCAATTTGTATTGCAAGTAGCAGAAACCCATTGAAACTGACTTAACTAAAAGGAGACTTAGTATAAAGAAATAAGTCAAGGGTATCCCGTCCCAAGGATGATTTCTTCCCTTACTCTATTTTCTGCTTCTGTCACTTTCTTGAACGCATACCTTTGCCGGTGTTTTCTGTCATGACTGCTCAACAACTTCTTATCTACAAATGGATTGTATCTCTTAGTAGCTCTGATCAGAAATCTTTTGTGTTCAGGATACCCATGGTATGAGTATGAAGTGCCCAGTATTGACCAGACATATAAAGCAATGATGATACCTGTTTTTCTCCTGGCATGAAATCATGTGCCAGGCTACTTATGCCACCTTTGGCCTAAGAGTTATTTAAGAGTGTTCATGGTGTTTTTCTAGACCATGTCTTGTAGGTTTCTCTAAACTTCTAGTAGAGACAAATGGCTGTGTCCGTACAGAACAGGAACCACAGATCTTGGCCACATGGGCAGTTTGCTTGCCACACTCCAGTGTGTGAGGAGGAGAATAGAGACCGATGGTGAGGATGGTGCCTGGTAACCACAGCCACAGTTCAGTCAGTTGTTGTGAACTTAGTCTTTTTTCTCCTGCCTAACCATTTCCCTATTTGCTGCGTTATTTGCATGTTCAGTGTTCATTTTCATGGTTTTAATTTTGAATAAAATTGAATAAAGATATTTCTTTAAAAAAAACACAAAGTCACGTTGGAGTCAGGAAGTAGAATTCTGTCAGGAGCCACAGGAGCATGTATAAGTCTCTCTTTCCTTTCCCCACTTTTCTCCCTCTTCCCCTCCCTCTCTTTTCCCACCCTTCCCTCTCCATCCCTCTTGTGCTTTCTCTGAGCTTCTCCTTTTATGTGGCCCAAACCTGACTGCCTCAGCATCCCCACCCCCCACCCCCGTGTGCATACTCTTCCTCAAATGGCCTTAACCCACAAGTGTCTCAATTCCAAACTCCAAGATTAAACATTCTGATTAGCTTAGTCAGCCAATGGATTGACTTCCTTCTAGGCCCAAGAAAATAGAGGCAGGGCTCAATAAAGGGAACCATAGGCTAAGTAGACCACAACAATGGTTCTCTACCACAAACTCAGGACACACAAAAACAACGTAACATATCACGGTTGGGATCCAAGCTCAATTTACGCCTCCTGTACAATCTGCATTATTTACAAAATATTTATTTGCAATGAGAAAAAGGAAAATGTGAAATTTTAACAATTAAAATTGCATAATGGTGCCCCCCCCCCAAGATTTTTAACACATTAACTGCCACGTGAGTTGTATTTAACTCATGCTAGTTTTGAGCCCAGGGCCTTGTGAGGCAAAACTTGGGCAAAACTCTGCAGCTGGTTCATGAAAATCTTACTTGTTGATGTTCTTATTGTTACAATTAGTACTGACAGGCCGGGCGCGGTGGCT